GACACGGGACTCGATCCCAGAAACCGTGAGATCATGACCTGAGCCAAAGTCGGATGCCCAACTGAGCCACCCAGGTGCCCCAAAGATTTTTTAAGGTTATATGCTTTTCTTATTTCTTCATTAAACAAAAATTACAAGATGAGTTTTCAAGACAGAGTATAGAAAAGAGCCTACGAAGAATGATAAACATGCAGCTGCCACCTAGACGTTGTCTCTGGCTCTTTGGCAGCATTTATATCCACCCATGTCATTCAGGGCTTGATTTAGGAATTCCACGTGGTAATTAGGGCCTCATTTGTCAGAGCTGGTCCAGGAGTGTCTTGTGGATGAATGGTTTTTTAGATAATTGGGGCTTTACCCTTTAAGTACCTCCCTTATTGGATGCCCTGTTAAAAAGGCATGACAAGTAAGCAAACCAAACTTATCTAAAGGGGTGGTGTTGCTAAAAGCAGCCCCATCGTAAGCATCCACTTAGTGAGTCCATGTGTGTTCACTGTAAACTCCTTCCGCTTCGTTGTATGTTTAAAATTCTTTCCTAATAAATATTGAGGGGAAACAGCATTTTTGAAAGTCCTGCAACCCTTACCCCAGCAGTGTTGTGGTTACTCAGAGAGCTCTGGGTGTGGAATGGTTAAGTTGCCGGCTCTGGAGCCAGACTGCCTGGGGTCCTGTGCTGTCTCTGCTGCTTCCTAGCTGCGTGCCCTTCAGGTGGTTACTGTCTTCTCTGTCTTGCCTTTAAAACTCCTTTGTCTGTAAAATGGGAATGATAGTAGTTGCTCCAGGGTTTGTCGTGGGAGAGAACCGAGGCGGTGCATGTACACGTGCAGTACTGAGCACTCTACACTTTGGCAGGTGTGGCCACCGTACCCCTGTGACTGCTACCTTGCAGTTGCCTTCAGCGCCGATCACTGACCCACTTAGAATCGTTACTACTCTCCTTGATCATTGACTTGAATGACAGTTTGGGGCTACTTTGAGACTTACTTTCCAATGACATGGGAATTTTTCCCCAGACCAAATCCATCTTTATGTTGTTCACTTCCCAGCCTAAATTACCAAGAACATAATTTAACTCTTCCTCAGTGAAGATGGCGCTGGGCCTGGGGGTCTGCACCCTGTAGACAGAGCTGTGCACTTTCCTGCCCCTGACTTCTGCTGGCTGCTGCCTTCAGGGGAGCACGTGATCCCTCCGTCTGCCCCGGCACTGCTCTTCGCTGCTGGGTGTGCATTCTCTTCCCTCTCTCCTCTCCAGCCTTGTGTTCACGACCACTGCTGTTCATCTTTACCCAGGGCAGAAAAGAGGACCAAGGTAAATCCGGAAGTGTCACAGATAAATGACGTCACCTGTAATGGGACCTCAGAAGGGGAATGATGATGATGTCCCTCTTCTACAGAACTGAGTGCTAGAGCTTTCTGTCCTCCACTTCTCTTGGGTTTGATGTCCTTTTAGTGGTTCCCAACATACTCACATGTTTTTGCAATCATCACAACTATCTAAGAACATTTCATGTTCTTAGGACATTTCATTCCCCCAGAAGAAACCTTGTACCCATTAGCAGTCGCTCCCCATTCTCCCCTCAACCCTTGGCAACCACCAGTCTACTTTCTGTCACTTTGGATTTACCTCTTTGGGGCATTTCCTACAGATGTGGTCGTATAACACGTGGCATTTTGGAGCTTCCTACTTGCAGTTGCCACGTTTCTTTCTATGTTGGGGGCATCTTAATGGTACTTTGCTCCTTTTTACAGCATAATAATAAGCCAATTACATAGACATGCCAAATGTTGTTTATTCATCCGTCTGTTGATACACATTGAGGTTGTTCTACCTTTTGGCTATTACGATGTTGATGCCATGAGTGTCTGTGTACAAGTGTTTGTGTGAACATATTTTTATTTCCATGCGTGTACCCAGCACTAGAATTACTGGGTCTTCTGGTAAGAAGTATTGGTATTTAACTTGAAGTTGAAGAACTTCCAACTGATCTACAAAGTGGCTGGGCCATTTTACATTCTAGCAGCAGTGTACAAAGGCTCTGATTTCCCACATCCCCACCGTATGTGCTGTTATGTGTCACTGTGATTACAGCTATCCCGGTGGATGTGAAGTGGTACCTCCTTGTGGTTTCAGATTTTCATTTCCCTGAAGACTAATGATGTTGAGCACTTTTTAATGCTTATTGGCCATTTGTAGATCTTCTTTGGAGAAAGGGTCTGTTCAAATCCTTTACCAAATTTTAATAGGGTTATTTGCCTTTTTATTGTTGAGTTGTATATATGAGTCCATATATGCTGGATACAAGCCCCTTATCAGATCTGTGATTTGCAAATAAATTCTCCCCTTCTGTGAGTTGTCTTTTTCACTTTCTTGCTGGCAGCCCAAAGCACAACCGTTTTTAATTTTGATGGAGTCCAATTCACCTGTTTTTTTTCTCATGTCACTGGCACTTTGAGATATTCTATTTGATGTCCCCAGTACATCTTAGGAAATCTGATTTGCTCACTGGGTACAGAATTGCATTATTCTTAGTTTTCCTGATTTGGAATTGTAAAGTACTTGCCTCACAGTGTTTGCCAGTAATAGAGGGTCTTAGAAATGTTGATACTTGTTGAGCTGGTAAACCCATTTCTGTGCCTTTAGCCTCGGGAAATAATTTGATAGAGGAAATATATCCTGTCTATGCCCAGAGGTCATTTCACTGTCACCTGTGACAGTGGGACACTGGAAGCCTGTCCAGTAGCAAGAGGAGTGTGATTAAGTTCATAGTGGGATGTTATTAGGCAACTATTAAATAATATCATTATGAAGTTTAATGAAAATGTTGATGATGAAATCTTCAATTAAAAAAAACACAGGGCACCTGGGTGGCTCAGTTGGTTGAGTGTCCGACTCTTGATTTTGGCTCAGGTCATGATCTTGTGGTTTGTGGGTTTGAGCCCTGCCTCAGGCTCTGTGCTGACAGTGTGGAGCCTGCTTGGGATTCTCTCTCTCTCTTCCTTCCCCCACTTGTGCTGTCTCTGTCTCTCTAAAAATAAATGAGAAAAAAAAAAAAAAAAAAAAGAAACCTAAGTATGTGTCTTGTCTAGCTAAAATATGTGTAAGACATTTGGGCTAGGTGGAAGGGTATACAGCGTTACAGGTAGTTGTAGTTTTATCCATTTTATTTAATACTGATATTTTATCTTAAATGTCAATTTTAAGATATTTTACCTAGGTAGCAACTAAAAATTTAATTTACAAGATATGTGCATAATATTTCCGATCTGTGGGGGAAGTGGTAGCAAGTGGCTAGGTCTGGTGTGCTTATTCTTATCCTGCCCAACTGTTTTTTTAAAAGGAATTATTTTTTATCATCATGATCATCAGGGTTAGACTTACAGAAAAATAGTTTGCTGTATTTAAGAACTTTGTTGCAGGATTCTCGCACAGAGAGTCATGACACGGAGGCTTTTCTTTCCAGGAAGTAACTTTATTCGTGCCAACACCGCTCAGTTGGGTTCGTACCCAAAGAACTGAGCGGCCCACATCACACGGCATAGTTTTTTATACGTTTTCTTTTTTTCTTTGTCTCCCATATATGGTAGCACACATAAACATGCAGTCTGATTAAGTTGTCTCAGTTTACGAGGTTATGGGGAATGTAGGTACCTAGGCGCCTATGTAGGTGACCTTGAAGTCTTCTCTTTTTCTCTCTCTTTGGGGAGGGGTGCCTACCACAACTTGAGTAGAGATATTTTGTCACTTTACATTTTCATATTAAATCCAAATACTGATGATAAGGTGATTTTGGAATTAGAATTACTGTTATTTTAGTCACCAGTATTACAGTTTGCTAAAAGAAAGGTAATGATGATTATGTTGCTATTATGTTAATAATAGGGGTCCCAGAAACACTTTTCTCATGGCATCTGATGAAACAATTATAATAATTTTACATGTAAATCAGTCATCCTAACATTTGAAACAAATTTCATTAAAAAAATTTTTTTAAGTTTATTTATTTAGAGACAGAGTGAGCAGGAGAGGGGCAGAGGGGGGTGGGGAGAGAGGATCTCAAGCAGGCTTTGCACTGTCAGCCTGAAGCCCGCTGTAGGACTTGAACTCACAAACCGTGAGATCATGACCTGAGCCGAAACCAAGAGTAAGATGCTTAATGGATTGAGCCACCCAGGTGCCCCTGAAACAAATTCCAAATGGATCAAAGATGTTAAAGTTTTTTTCTTTTAAAGAACAATAAAGGCACCAAAGGAAATAGAAAGGTAAGTAAGCACGATGCTGGGTCACATATAGTGTGTACACCCAAGGTGATGCCACAGTCCGAGCTCCTGCACCGCACAGTGGGTCCGTGGCTCCCCTGACATCCGACCTTTGGCTTCGGCGGAGGGGCCGCAGTCCGGGGTATGGCCGGTAGCCAGGAGGTGCTCTGTGTTCCGTGGCCTGGACCGGGTGTGATGGGGCAGCAGGCAGGGAAAGGCTGCAGAGGGAGGCCCGGCTCCTGTGGCAGCCGCAGCCCTGCACCCACTTTGCACGCCGTGGCTGACTTGGCCTCTGGGCCCGGCTTGGGGGAGGCAGAGGTGGTGTCTTGTTGTCGTATGTGGGAAGGCTGTGAAAAGAAAAACCCTTGTTGGCCCAAACATTTAAACAAGAATTACACTAGGATGTTTTGTTCTCACTCTGACACGGTCAGAATTAATTTGGACATCCGAAAGAGGATTATTTTGTTGTTGTTTGGCTTTTGAATCTGCGTAACTTAATACAACAACACAGAGGGAAATACAAAACGAAATGCATGGCTTAAGTCTGTCAGATGGTACTGGAACATCCCCAGGGTGTTCTTAAGGGCACGATTTTGTTAGTGTTTGGGGGGGCTTCACATTCACACTGCTGGTGACCTTCCTGTGGAAAGGCCCTGGCGATGGGAGCAGCAATGTGTGGGCATCTGAGAAGTGCACGGCCCACGCCCGAGAGATCGTAATCACCATTTTCTCTTCCTCCTCAGGTTTGGTAGGAAAAACTTGTGTTCTGCAAACAACTGAAAAAGCTGCCATCGGAAGCCATTTCTTTGGCCCTCATGGAGCAGCTGGAGCTTGCACAGTGAGGCCCTGGACGGGACGAGCTCTGCCCCGCTGATCAGCCAGAGCGGTGGTCGCCATGGCCAGCAAGAGGAAGTCCACCACCCCGTGCATGATCCCGGTGAAGGCGGTGGTGCTGCAGGAGGCCGGTGCGGAGGCCCAGCCCGCTGAGGCCTTGCCCGAGGGGCCCCAGCAGGAGCCGCCCCCCGACGTGCCCGCCGGCGGTAGCAGGGAGGTGACCCAAACGCCCAGCAGTACCGAGGGCGCCACGCTGGCCAACGGGCACCGAAGCACTTTGGATGGCTATTCCTATTCCTGCAGATACTGTGACTTCAGATCCCAGGACATAACCCAGTTTGTGGGACATATGAACTCAGAGCACACAGACTTTAACAAGGACCCAACTTTTATATGCACTGAATGCAGTTTTCTGGCAAAAACTCCTGAGGGGCTCTCTCTGCACAATGCCAAGTGTCACTCGGGGGAAGCCAGCTTTGTGTGGAATGTGGCCAAGCCAGACAATCATGTGGTCGTGGAGCAGAGTGTCCCCGAGAGCACCTGCACTCCTGACATCTCGAGTGAGCCCAGCGCTGAAGGGGCTGACGGACAGGCTGAAATCATCATTACCAAAACCCCAATCATGAAGATAATGAAAGGCAAAGCTGAAGCCAAAAAAATTCACACGCTCAAGGAGAACATCCCCAGTCAGCCTGTCGGGGACGCAGCCTTACCAAACCCGTCGGCCGGGGAGACCGAGGCGAAGGAGGGGGACCGTTCCCTTGTCGACGGGGCGGTCCCAGTCGGTCAGCCGGCCACAAGCTCGGCAAAAGGGCCGCACGCGGCCAACGGGCCCCCGATGGGAGCGGTGCCGGTGCTGCCGGCCGGCCTCGCCCAGTTCCTCCCCCTGCAGCAGCCGCCCCCTGGGCGCGCCCAGCACCACCACCACCAGCCGCCACCGCCCACATCCAAGTCACTCCCCAAGGTGATGATCCCCCTGAGCAGCATCCCCACCTACAACGCGGCCATGGACTCCAACAGCTTTCTGAAGAACTCGTTCCACAAGTTCCCCTACCCAACCAAAGCCGAGCTCTGCTATCTGACTGTGGTCACCAAGTATCCGGAGGAGCAGCTCAAGATCTGGTTCACGGCCCAGAGGCTGAAGCAGGGCATCAGCTGGTCCCCTGAGGAGATTGAGGACGCCCGGAAGAAGATGTTCAATACAGTCATTCAGTCCGTGCCCCAGCCCACCATCACCGTCCTCAACACGCCCCTGGTTGCCAACGCTGGCGGCGTCCAGCACCTCATCCAGGCCGCCCTCCCGGGCCACGTGGTGGGGCAGCCGGAGGGCACGGCGGGCGGCCTGCTGGTCACTCAGCCGCTGATGGCCAACGGGCTGCAGGCGCCTGGCGCGTCCCTGCCGCCGGCGGTCACGTCCGTCCCCAAGCCGCCCGCCGTGGCACCCATCAACACGGTGTGCTCCAGCACGACGTCGGCCGTGAAGGTGGTGAACGCGGCGCAGTCGCTGCTCACGGCGTGCCCCAGCATCACCTCCCAAGCCTTCCTCGACGCCAGCATCTACAAAAACAAGAAGTCTCACGAGCAGCTGTCGGCTCTGAAAGGAAGCTTCTGTCGGAATCAGTTCCCAGGCCAGAGCGAGGTGGAGCATCTGACCAAAGTGACGGGCCTCAGTACCCGAGAGGTGCGCAAGTGGTTCAGCGACCGCAGGTACCACTGCCGGAACCTGAAGGGCTCCAGGCCCGTGTTGCCCGGCGACCAGGGCCCTGTCGTCCTTGACCCCGGGCCAGACGTGCCCTTCACCCCAGTGGCCAAGGCCCCTGAGGGGCCCTGCATCCCGCCGGCAGCCACCCTGGCCGCCCCACCTTCCGCCAGACGGCAGGCCTGGCACCAGACCCCCGACTTCACGCCGACCAGGTACAAGGAGCGAGCCCCCGAGCAGCTCAGAGCCCTGGAGAGCAGTTTTGCACAAAACCCCCTTCCTCCCGACGAGGAGCTGGACCGCCTGCGGACTGAAACCAAGATGACCCGGAGGGAGATTGACAGCTGGTTCTCGGAGAGACGCAAGAAAGTGAGTGCCGAGGACACCAAGAGGGCCGATGAGGGCGCCACTCCAGAGGAGGCGGCGGCTGCCGAGGACGAGGATGAGGCCTGTGACCTGAGGGTCCCCGGTGGAGACGGCTCCCCAGAAGGGGCCGGCGGCCACACGCTGGCCGAGCGCAAGGTCAGCCCCATCAAAATCAACCTCAAGAACCTGCGAGTCACTGAAGCCAACGGCAAGGGCGAGCTCCCGGGGCTGGGCGCCTGCGAGCCCGGGGATGGTGGGCCCGGGCCGGGGGAGCTGGCCGAGCAGCCCCCGGGCAAGGCGAGCTGCAAGAAGACGGCCCAGCAGCGGCACCTGCTGCGGCAGCTCTTCGTGCAGACGCGGTGGCCCAGCAACCAGGACTACGACTCCATCATGGCGCAGACGGGGCTGCCGCGGCCCGAGGTGGTGCGCTGGTTCGGGGACAGCAGGTACGCCCTGAAGAACGGCCAGCTCAAGTGGTACGAGGACTACAAGCGGGGCAACTTCCCCCCGGGGCTGCTGGTCGTCGCCCCCGGCAGCCGGGAGCTGCTGCAGGACTACTACCTGAGGCACCAGACGCTGTTGGAGCGGGACCTGCAGAGCCTGTGCGACAAGACCCACATGAGCTCCCAGCAGGTCAAGCAGTGGTTCGCTGAGAAGATGGGCGAGGAGACCCGCGCCGCGGCGGACACCGGCGGCGAGGACCAGGGCGCCGGCGAGCCCGCAGTGGTTCACAGAGGGACGGGTGACGCGTACTCGGAGGTGTCGGAGAACAGTGAGTCGTGGGAGCCTGGCGCCCCTGGGGCCAGCTTGGAGCCCTCTGACGCGCCAAGTCCCCAGGCTGGACTGGAGCTGGGTAAGGAGGGCCCCCCACCGCCCCTGCCCCGGGAGTGCGGGCCGTCCTCCTGGGGAGGGGACGTCTGCTGTCTCTGTGGCTGTCCCGCAGCCGGGGCTGCTTCCCGGGCACCTGGCGGCAGGAGCCATCGGCACATGATGAGAATCTGACACAGGGTGGAGAGTTGGTTTTTCATTTTGTTTCACGTTTCTCTCAACCTGTGCAGGGGGTGGGACCACAGCTAACCTATGAGGGTGCCAGCTTTTCTAGACATTTCTTAGCAGTCGGAGAATAGGTCAAAGCACCGTCTTGAGTCCAGCAGAGCCACCAGCCCTGCATAGGAGAGAGCAGTGGGGCTGTTGACAAAATTCAGCTCACGCTGGCGAGCAGAAGAGGGGCTTTAATTGTCCTTAGAGATGTGAAATGCTTCTTTCAATTTTTTTTTAATGATGAATGCCCTGTAATTTGTTATTTCTGTTGTTCTTTCTAATTTGAAGTAATGAAAGTCATCTTCCCCCTTGTGCAATCAAAAGCCTCCATTTTGTTCCTCAGTTTCTCTGGATCATATCTCTGGTATTAGTACTTGAAAGAAAGCTTGAGATGATTTTATTGAAGATAGTTGTGTAGCTACAGACAAGTCATGTTGTTGATACTGGGTCCTGACCCCTGTGTCCCCAGCCTCTCCGTTCCTTCCCCACCTTTTTTCATTTGTCTCTGTAGAGGCCTTATCACAGTATGGCCAGGAAGTGATGAAACTTAGGTCTTCACAGGAGGCTGTGGAAACCAAGAAAGTGTCGGGGCGGGGTGGGGGGGAGGCTGGCAGGAGGGCATTGCTCACGGTGGGAAGAGGTCCCTGCCGCCAGCGGTAGCACCCGGCACAGCGTGGATCAGGCTGCCTTGGGGGCTGTACAAGTGACGGCTGACAGGCATGTGTTTTCTCCTCAGAGACAGACTGAATTTGAACTGATTACACTGAAGGACTGGCCAGTCTGGGATGCCGCCTGCCACGTGAAAGGGCCCAACCCGACTCTCCGCTGCCACATGCTGATCCATGCCCGCCACAGGGCACGCACGAGAGCTTCTGGAGGCCTCGCCGCCAGCCCAGGGCCCGCCGCCACCGAGCGAGCCAACGGGGAGAGCAGGGTCCTTGTCAGTTCTTCCTCCCACAGTGTAGGACCTTTCCTTTGCCTTCCAGTGGATAAAATAGTTCAGATTTCATATTCATAGACACGAATCAAGTTTTTAACATAAATCCGCCTATACACATTTAATAAAACGTCAGATTGTAAACACTTTCATTACATAGAAACTTTGGTTAGCAAGCAGTACGTTGTCATCTACATCATCTCTGCACATGCCCCGTGTCTGTTCTCTGGAGATCCCTGGGGCCATGCGTCCCCTCGGCGGTGGGCAGGGGGCACGCACACACTCAGAGGTGCAACTGGGCACTCCTCCACGAGGGCAGGGCCTTTGAAGAGGTCTCTGCCGTCACGCCGGGCTTGCGTCACCCTGCGGGATGACGATCCGGGCAGAAGCGCCGGTCCCTGCAGTTTGAACAGGGACCCCGTGTGTGATGGTGCGCGCGTCCCGGTCGTAAGTCCTTACGGCCCTTCTCCTTTCTCAAGGGCGTCGGAAGCATGGAGCAGAACTTTTCAGTTATCAGATCAACTAGAGAAACATCTGTTGTCAAGCCTGACGTACTGACCTCTGTGCCCACGGTTTTGTTTTTGTTTTTAATCTGAATGTGTTGAGCAGAGGGAAATTGAGAAAAGTGGGGCTGAAAGTGGAAGGGCGCGGCCCCGGCAGGTAGCTTTGGCCGCTGTGGTTTTTAGAGCCCTTGACCCACACTTGCTTCAAGGCTGCCTTTGGTTTGGGAAGGAAGACTTGCACTCGGCCAGTAGTGAGGGTGAGAGCTGACGGGATCCGGGGGCTCGGGAGTTCTCAGAGCTGAGGTGGGCCTGGACGTGGGGGCTCCTGGCAGGACGCCCAGAGTACTCGTGGCCCCCACGCCAAGGGCCTGGCTGGGTGCCCGACATTGCTGGATGGGTCCTCATGACGATGTGCTTCAAGCTCGGCATTTCTGCTCCAAACTTGGAAACAAGATCTCTGTCTACTTTAGCCTAATCTTCCTATCCATTTGTTTTTGTTTTTGTTTTTTGAGAAAATCACAGGAAAAGGTGCTTTTGAAACACTGGGAAACTTGCTTACAAAGCTGTACTACATGGTAAATCCTTATTTCCCCAAGACTGGCTGCTCGGAGAGCAGCGGATGGAGGGTGAGGCAGACAGACGTCCGGTCACATGCGCTTCTCACCTTCTGGGGACCACCTGCTTCCCAAAGCACCAAGACCTCAGGAGCATGCTCCTCCCGGGCCCAGGCTGGGTGAGCGGCAGGGCCTTTGGGCAAGAAATCCTGGTGGTGGGTGAGGTGCCATCCTTCTCCCCAGCCCCGCCCGGGAACTGAACTGGGTAGGGCACCATGCTGGCTTGGCTCCAAGGAGATGGTGAAGATGGTAGTGGCACCTCTGCCTTCCGGGAGAGGGGCTTTCTTTGCAAACCAAAAGCCCTTGACCCCTGTTCTTCTAAAGTGTCTTCCTTTCCTCTCCGGGCGCTGTAGGGACCACCTCTTAGTTGTTAACATGTGAGTACTTGGCAAGTTTTGTCCCCCACCCCCCCCACCCCGTTTGTATCCTTTCCATTTGAGTGCCGAGCTCTTTAGCCCCAAAGGCCTGTTTGCAGAATTGCCAAGAGTGGTGAGTGCTTCTTCCTTCAGAGAACAGACAGCTGGGATTTTCCCTTTAGTGTTTATGTACCTGCAGATTAATTTATATATACATATAGATACAGGACGAATACTCACTTTATACTTTACTCAGAAGATGTACATCTGAGGTGTGCACTTGAGGAACCTAGTGGCATGTGGGTGCTGGGGAAAGTAGCCTGTGTTGAAGGCAGCGCTGGGACCCCTGGTGCAGCTGGGGTGGCCCAGCCGGAAGCCACGAGAGAGTGTGAGATGCCACCCTGCAGGCCTTGCTCCCAGGGTCCTGCACGTACTGGCTGGAGGGGTGTGTCTTTAGAGGGTTTTCTTGGTTATTTAATGTGTGTTCGTATTTCATTTACAACTCAAACAGCAGAGCAGAAAATGAATTACATGGTAGACAAGTTGGTGCAGGACATAGGGACCCAGCCTCGGCACCAGCCTGTCTTTGAAAGGTGGGAACGCTACCGTGCTGCCGCCTGGGCATGGTTTCCTCACAGATGCTTGCTCTCCCCGCGGCGGGGCCTCCCCGCGCACGACAGGACCGCCCAGGTAAGGAGCCCCGCAGGCCGGACGGCCCCTCCTCCTCCCTGTGCTCTTGGACCAGAGTGGATAGTGGGGTTGGAGCCTCAGACCATGAAAGGTGAAGGCGAGAGACGCCCCATGGGACGTCGCAACAGGTGCACACGACTTTGGGCGCTCGGGGAACACCGCCAGCCCGGCTCGCGGAAATGTGCTGGCCCGGAATCGGAACTGCACCCCGTGCATGGGGACGTGGCACTGCAGCTGTCGGCCCCCTGTCCTGCTGTGAGACAAATCACTGCGGTTTTGCACACCACCTGAGGGCGTCTGTGATGTCGCCTCCAGTAGGAAGGCAGCCTGTGGGCTGCAGGGCTGAGAAGCGGGACAGGGTTTCATAAGGTGACGCGTCTTTCTTCTCCCTACGCACCTGGGCTTGTCAGAGCTAGTAAAATCTTTCGGTGTTTCTTGTTGCTCGTCTTGCACGTTTGGTTTATTATATTTTTTACATGGGGTTGTAGATCCAGTTTTAATAGGTGAAATTAGATCATTGTGATCAGAGAAATCTGGATTTATGATATATATACTTGGCATATTTAAAAAAATTTTTTTTAGTGTTTATTTTTTGAGAGAGAAACAGAATACAAGTGTGACAGGGACAGAGAGAGAGACAGAATCTGAAGCAGGCTCCAGGCTCTGAGCTGTCAGCACAGAGCCGGACGCGGGGCTCAAACCCACAAATCATGAGATTATGACCTGAGCCGAAGTCAGAGGCTTAACCGACTGAGCCACCCTGGTGCCCCCACCTTACGTATTTTACTTATTTTAATTCTCGACTATTAAGGAGCTCTTTGATTTGAGAGGAGTGTTCCCATTTTCCAGAGCCAAGGGTTCCAGAAAGAGCACTGGATGGCCGGTTGGCCTTCGGCGTTTGGTAGCACCGTGTGACTTGGAGCTCCTGGCTTGGCCAAGTGACTAGCAGGTGTGCAGGTGACCAAAGCATGGGGGACCTGAGGCCCTGCGCCCTGCTTGCGGGAAGGACAGGTGCAGGAGCTGGGCAGAGTGCTGTACAGACCCCGACGTCCCAGCTGACCATGGCAGGCTGACCCACCAGGACGTTTCTGCATGTCCTCCAGGCTGAGATGTCACTCTTGTCCTGCACAGGCCCTGTGTTACCTGTCTCTCCCCTCTGGCTCTGGGACATCTGTGCCAGGCCAGCTGCCATGGGGGTGGGCATCAGCCTTTCTGCCGGGTGCTTGCCTTGTCCGCGCCCCCTCCCCGGCGGCCTGCCTGTGCTGCCCCGTGTCGGGCCCTGTGGCCTCGTGCCCGCCTGTTCTCTTCTGGCGCCGAGATCCTTGGATGGGAGCAGTCTGGTCAGTTTAAACATCACAGCCCAAGTGGGTAAAGGCACTTTGTAGGGGAAGAGAACCAGCCAAACCAAACTTGGAATTTGGGCTTTTTCTCACCCTCCCCCCTTTCCTTGCTCAGAGTTTACTCGGGGTAGGTTATTGATCTGACCCACCTTTTGTATTAAGTTTAAACTTCCCTTTATCTCCTGTAAGTACAAGGCTCAGTTGTCAGCTGGAGAAAACAGATCCCGTAGACGGGCTAGGGTCCACACTGCTAACTCCAGGGCAGAGCCGGCAGCAGCCCGGGTCAGGACGCAAACAGGGCTGGGCTCTGCTCGCTCCCGCCTGGAGCCCCGACCCCCGGCCTCCCAACTTGCTGCCCTTGCTGAGGAGCACAGGCCCACCCGGCCTTCCTGGCCTCACCTTGGGGGACGTCTCCACGCGGCTTGGGGAGCGCCTGGCACCTGAGAAAGCAGGGAGTGGGGAGCCCGGGCTTTCTTCTAAATGGACCACTCCCCAAGCCTGGCTTCGATCGAGGTGACTGTCATGCTGTTTCTCTGGCCACTTAGAACAGCCAGGCTGTGCGACAGCAGGGCTGAGGAGACAAGGCAACTTCTCAGCAAAGTGATGGGTTTTGATTTGGGCCAAGTGCCTGGGCAGAGGTGACGATCATGGGTGCCACCCAGCCCTGTCCCACACGGAATGGCAAGGCCTCGGTTTGAGTGTGTCCCGGCCTCAGTCTGTGTTGCGTTCCTGGCACCGGCTCGTCCTGGGAAGGCAGTTCTCAGAACCACCCGGCACGTGCATGCGGGGGTGTGAAGTAGAGGGCCCCAGGGGGGCATCCAGAGTCTGCTTGTCTGTTCTTCAGTGCTGAGCGCACTTGTGAAGACTGAGGCCGCTAACCTGGCCTCTTCTTTCAACGGGGTCCTAGTCCTTCACCAGCCTGGAGACCGGACAGCCTGGATCCAGCAGGAAGCAACCATTCTAACTGCCGAAGTCTGGAGCAGGGGCAGAAACCCGATGCCTGGCACAGACCGGGCAGGCCCTGGTCGCCCTATGGACAAGGGTGGGAGCGAGCACCTGCTGCCTTGATTTTGAAAAATGCTGTCTTTGGTTTGCAGGACCGCCAGGATCCACAAAGGGCATACGGCTACTGCTTTGCTGTCGCCAGCCCCAAGGCTTCCGCAGCCCCCAGAGCCTGGCTCTTGTGGCTGTTCAGGCTGGAGCCAGAGGGAGGGGTACGCATGGCGAGCAAGGCCCTTGGGGGGGGGGGGGACAGGGGTGGCCGTCTTCTCTCCTGCTGTCAGCTGGGGCAGGTGGCAAGCCAGGGTACTGGAAGGGGTCTGAGCGTCTGCCTGCCGCTAGGGCTCCTCTGGAGCCCGGCCCTGCTGTGTGTGCACCCCGAGCACTGGAATGTTGACGAATAGCTTTTCCTGGCTAATGCTTTGTGACTGCTGTTCTTTGCACGATAAAGGGGTGACTTGAAAGTATTTGGAAGAAGTATTCGGCTGGAGCCGAAGGCGAACTGTCCAGAGTAAAGGCTGTATGGAGTCCCTGAATATAGAAAGCTACAAGTGCATGGTCTTTCCGAGGAGTCAAACCCCAGAGTAGATGCATGGGTGGAGGGTAAGAATCTACCCGCGTGGTAGCTGTTCTCTCATTTGTGGTGAAAGGGAAAGACTGTCACTCACCCTTGGTTCCTGCCCACATAGTGGCGTCATTCTTGCAGTTTGCTTTAAGTGCTGGCAGGGTGGGAGTCCCAGGCCAAGAGGAGCTGGCTGGAGGGGGCGCCGGGCCGCCCTCAGCATGGGCCCAGCATGGCCCTCGGGCCAGGGGAGAAAGGGTGGCCCGTGCAGTGGCGTTCCTGCGGCACTCGGGGGCCACCATGTCGCTCAGCTGTGTCGGGAAAACCTGCCCGTGCCATAATTGTTAGTACGAAGAAAACACGCCAACCTTCCCCTCTCCCCTGCCGGCCGCTGTCCACCGGAAGTTAACTGAGCACAGTGTTTGCGGAAGTCAGGGAGGTTGCCAGAGCTGCAGGGTCCTGCCTGAGGGCGCGGGCTCCTGGTTTTCTACCACCCGTTTACCTTGTCTTCGGAGCAACGGGAGGCCCTGGGAATGGCTGGTGAGCAGTCGGCTTTAGCGCGCCTCCTGTCTCCCAGAGAGACGGCTCAAAGACGTGACCATCTTGGTGCTAAGAGACAAGTGCCCTGTCTGGCCAGCGGCAAACTGCAACTACACTGAACTGTACCAGAGGATCCCCTCCCTGCGGTGGCCAGGTGTGAGACCGGCCCAGGGGGGCGTGCGCTGTCGGTCAGGCCTGGGTCAAACGGGAGTTCTTTATCCAGGGTGAGTGTTCTTAACAGAAAGACGTAAATTGCCTTTGGACAGTGGCTGTGCCGAGGTCGAGTGGGCTGCCTTCTCTGGGCTGTGTCTCCAGGCCTCACGCGGTCCCCTGTGGGGATGCTGCTATTTCTAAGATGCAAATTGCACATTTCCTAGATTTTGTATCTGGGGATTTGGATAAGGGAGGGAGCAGGGCCAAACTGCTTATACAATTTGATACTGGGCCGAAATGGTACTTCAGATCTTTTGATTGTTACTAAATAAAAACGTAAATATATTTCACATCTGCTGACTTTATTTTGTGGGGTAGCTTTCAGAAAAACTAAGAACATCTCACGTGTGCTGACTTATTCAGTGGGCAAGCCGGACCTTAAGCTTGGATGGATGAGCAAGGCCATTAGCCTCAGCCCGCTTCAGGAAAGTTCTCGTCTGTTTTCCATGCTGCTGCGTCCACGGGACTGGCTTCTGTGTGACAGAACTGTGATTTTTAGAATTACTCTAAATAGACAAAAGGCACAGGAGTGAGACTTGGCAGTCATCAGGTGTCTTGTGAGAGGGCCCTGGGAAGTCCTTTTCTTGTCCCTTCCTCCCTCCCCACTGCCCATGACGAGAAGTGCTCAGAAGCAGAGCATTTTCCTTTTTGCTGAGGAGGGGTTGTCGAATATATTGCTTAAGGACCTGGAAGCCTTAAAGGAACAGGATTACAAGCCTAATTTCTGGGGCACCTGGCTGGCTAGGTTGGTGGAGCATGCAACTCTTGATCTTGGGGTTGTGAGTTCGAGCCCTACCTTGGGTGGTAAAAATTACTTTTAAAAATCTTTAAAAAAAATTAAAAAAGCCAGTTTCTAAAATTCAGAGCACTTGAATCTTGTTGGGGTGACCCTGAGGGCCTGTGACAGGAAAAAGGGAGCTCAGGTATAAAATCACCTGGGGCAGAGACACACCAAGGCCGGCCAGTGATTCTGGCCCCGGGTGGACACCAGGACCTGGAGTTGGCTCCAGGCCAACGAAGTCTTGGGAAAACAGCTTTGTGTTGACTGTAAAGCAAGTCCTTGGAAGCAAGAGCAGCCTGGTGCGGGAGGCCTGAAAACCAAGCAGCTGAAGCCCGGGGTGAGTACAGACTCGGGCAGGGGCTTCCTGGGACACAACCGCGGACGGAGGTGGCAGTAGCAGCCTCCTGGGGTTGCTGAGCTTCCTGGGGGCGGTGGCAGTGGCCTCCGGGCAGGAGTCCCCTGGCGACCATCAGAGAAAGGCCCAAGGAGGATTCTCCAGTGGAGACGGGGCGTGATCCCTTTAACAGAGGTGAGGAGGTAGGACCTTATTTTGTTCCGTGAGCTAGTGTGGTGGGATAACCAGATCCTGCTTATAGTGGTTCTCCCCTTCTAAACAGAAACGGTGAGAGAGGATGGGCTCAAACCTAAAGACAAGGGAGGTTTTGTTTTGTTTTTTGTTATCTTAGGGAGCAAGAGAGCATGGGCAGGGGAGGGACACAGAGAGAGAGAGGGAGACAAAGAATCTGAAGCAGGCTCCAGGCTCTGAGCTGTCAGCACAGAGCCCGACACGGGGCTCGAACCCACAAACCGTGAGATCATGACCTGAGCCGAAGTCAGACGCTTAACCGACTGAGCCACCCAGGCGCCCCCAAGACAAGTGAGTTTTTAAGCGGCCCCAGCCTCCAGGTGGGGATGTCCCTGGGAGGGGGGGAGGGGGGAGGGTGTCTTGTGTGCTTGGCACCACAGACCTTATTAATGGCACTGTCCTTAACTGGAGTCAGAAAC